AAAAAAAGAAACGCAATACGGATATTTTTGGCCATAAAAACAAAATTAGCGTATAAAGAGGTACAAAATGAAGAGGTTTAATGTGTTATAGTGACAAATTTCCCGGATCAAATGATCCCCAAAAGGACATGCAAAACATAAGTCGGGAAACACGTACGATTCGGAAGAAACGCACCCAGTGCATTAAAAAAAGGACCATGGAGCTGCACGCACTAAACGTGCAGAAGCTCTATGGACGGTATTAAAGTGCAGGGGTTTTTTTGGGTGGCAACTGCGTCAATCGAACAGTGACAGTTCAACAACATGCCAGGATTAACAGAAGTGCAAAGAAACAACGTCATATGCTGCTTGCAGGCAGGGGAATCCCGATCAGCTGTAGCCAGGGCTTTCAATTTAGCGCCCAGCACCATCACAAAGCTGTGGGATCGATGTCAACAGCATGGTTCAACACGTGATCAGCCAAGGTCGGGACGACAAAGCGTAACCACCCCCGCCCAAGACTGCTACATCCAACTGTATTTAGGATATCTTCAATTCAATTCACGATATCTTCAATTCAATTCAAGATATTTTAAAAACAATTGAAGAGATCAGTAATTCCGTAATAAATGTGAAAACGGCTTGCCATAGTACCGCATATTCTTAGGGAGGTAGGGGATCCGAGATGGTCAGTCAGACAGGAATGTTCGACATATAACGCAAATTTTACCTTACTCCTGAGATTTTTAACCTACCAATGTGCAAAAGGTTTCATTCTATGGGGCATTTCACAAGGCAACGATGGGAGCTACTCTTCGTCTAACTTAAGAACAAGAGGAACAAATAAAATGATTCCTCGTGCACTTTAACTGGGATCTTTATATTGTCCAGAAAGAATATGAAATGGAACAACAATACACACAATACACAAGATGAAATAAGGATATTTAAGATTACAGTGTTTCAGAACATGAGGTTGCGTATGCAGATGTTGGTCGTAGCATTGACAGCACTGATGACACTGATAAGATTAAGCCACCTCAAAATGTTGGCCAGTATCCTCGTTGCTTCTGTGTACCATGTGTAACTGAAAATAGGTAAAGGACAGGCCCCGCCCAATGGAAACAGCTCCTTCAGGAAGTCAAGTACTAGAAGTTTCGGAAAATGCTGAATGACAGAGATGCTTGGCAAATATAAATCATTATGAGATAAAGAAAACTCCGCCACTCAGACACATTGTTGTAACAGATAATAATGCCAGTGTTTTACATCTTGTTCGTGGATTATACCCAAACCTATCTGGTATTGAAACATAGGACAAATGACAAATGATTGCATACTCAAATAAGTGTTATCTCACTACTTCCCAGCTTATTGCTACCACTGTACCTATATATGCTTGAAATGAAAAACTATTAAGTAGGGGAGAGGAAGATTCCTGCTATATTCATCAGGAAAGACTAAGACACATGAACTCTGACCCTGTCATTCAAATGCTCAACAACTGCAAACATTCAAAGAACACATTTGAAATATTTAACAAAGCTACAAAAACTTGTGTTTGGTTTAAAGAAAAGATTGCATGCTACAGCTGTGACAGCAATAAGCATCCAGATTAGTTTATGAAACACGCCACACGATTTCCTATGTCCCAAGTGGAGATCCTTGTTTTATCCCTTAATGCCAAGCGCCAAGCAGGGTAACATCAACTATTAACGTCTTTTGGTATGCCGCAGTACACTCCCGACCTTCCCCTTCCTCGGGCAGACACTCTAGCTACCAACCAGACTACAGAGGCGATCAACGTATTCTAGAAGATAGATAATGATTTCCCTCTAAAGTATAAGGATCTTGTTTATTCATATAACGACCTAATAGATGAAGACATTTTAGAAATATGCAGACAATTAGCCAGAAATCGAGGGTGTGGTCAAAGTTTTAAGCTCATTACTTTTGCATCCGGAAAATAATTATACATTTATATCACCGCAATGCCTCAATCACACAACTATTCAGTCGTGTTACAATTTGAGGATGTAAATATGAGAGACATCTTGAGAAGTCCTCGTCCAGGGCATTTAGATGTGGAGGTCACATTGATTGTTTTAGGTTTTACAATGTGGTTAGAGATTCGATGGCAATGATTGAAATACATTTAAAATAAACATCCCGGAAAATCTATGTCTGTATCACATATCTTTTTACAACATATGCACTACCCATCTTTACACAACACATTCACTACCCATCCTTACACAACACATTCATTATCCATCCTCACACAACACATTCATTATCCATCCTTACACAACACATTCATTATCCACCCTTACAAAACACATTCATTATCCATCCTTACACAATACATTCATTATCCACCCTTACACAACACATTCATTATCCTTCCTTACACAACACATTCATTATCAATCCTCACACAACACATTCATTATCCATCCTTACACAACACATTCATTATCCTTCCTTACACAACACATTCATTATCCATCCTTACACAACACATTCATTATCCATCCTTACACAACACATTCATTATCCTTCCTTACACAACACATTCATTATCCTTCCTTACACAACACATTCATTATCAATCCTTACACAACACATTCATTATCAATCCTCACACAACACATTCATTATCCATCCTTACACAACACATTAATTATCCTTCCTTACACAACACATTCATGATCCATCCTTACACAACACATTCATTATCCATCCTTACACAACACATTCATTATCCTTCCTTACACAACACATTCATTATCCTTCCTTACACAACACATTCATTATCAATCCTTACACAACGCATTCATTATCAATCCTCACACAACACATTCATTATCCATCCTTACACAACACATTCATTATCCATCCTTACACAACACATTCATTATCCTTCCTTACACAACACATTCATTATCCTTCCTTACCCAACACATTCATTATCCATCCTCACACAACACATTCAATACCCTTCCTTAGACAACACATTCATTATCCATCCTTACACAACACATTCATTATTCATCCTTACACAACACATTCATTATCCTTCCTTACACAACACATTCATTATCCTTCCTTACACAACACATTCATTATCCTTCCTTACAAAACACATTCATTATCCTTCCTTACCCAACACATTCATAATCAATCTTTACACAACACATTCATTATCCATCCTTACACAACACATTCATTATCCACCCTTACACAACACATTCATTATCCTTTTTTACACAACACATTCACTACCCATCCTCACACAACACATTCATTATCCTTCCTTACACAACACATTCATTATCCATCCTCACACAACACATTCATTATCCTTCCTTACACAACACAATCATTATCCTTTTTTACACAACACATTCACTACCCATCCTCACACAACACATTCATTATCCATCCTTACACAACACATTCATTATCCTTTTTTACACAACACATTCACTACCCATCCTCACACAACACATTCATTATCCATCCTCACACAACACATTCATTATCCATCCTTACACAACACAATCATTATCCATCCTTACACAACACATTCATCATCAATCCTTACACAACACATTCATTATCCATTTTTACACAACACATTCATTATCCATCCTTACGCAACACATTCATTATCAATCCCTACACAACATATTCAGTATACATCCTTACACAACACATTCATTATCCATCCTCACACAACACATTCATTATCCATCCCTACACAACATATTCAGTATACATCCTTACACAACACATTCATTATCCATCCTTACACAACACATTCATTATCCATCCTTACACAACACATTCACTACCCTTTCTCACACAACACATTCATTATCCATCCTTACACAACATATTCATTATCCGTCCTTACACAACAGATTCATTATCAACCCTTATACAACACATTCGTTATCCATCCTTACACAACATATTCATTATCCATTTTTACACAACACATTCACTACCCATCCTTACACAACACATTCATTGTCCATCCTTACACAACACATTCATTATCCATCCTTACACAATACATTCATTATCCATTTTTACACAACACATTCACTACCCATCCTCACACAACATATTCATTATCCATCCTCACACAACACATTCATTATCCATCCTTACACAACACATTCATTATCCGTCCTTACGCAACACATTCATTATCAATCCTTACACAACACATTCATTATCCATCCTTACACAACACATTCATTATCAATCCTTACACAACACATTCATTATCCATCCTTACGCAACACATTCATTATCAATCCTTATACAACACATTCCTTATCAATCTTTACGCAACACATTAACTACACATCTTCATACAACACATTCACCACACATCTTCATACAACACATTCACCACACATCTTCATACAGCACATTTACTACCCATCTTCATACAACACATTCACCACACATCTCATACAACACATTCACCACACATCTCATACAACACATTCACCACATATCTTCATACAACACATTCACCACACATCTTCATACAACACATTCAACTCACATCTCGTACAACACATTCACCACACATCTCGTACAACACATTCACCACGTAAATAACGACCTTCGTTTTAACATGCTTAATCGTAGACGTCCGCCGAAGCATTTGCCACTGAACTCAGTTGAAAATACACTTTCAACATGCGTCAAAGACTAGACACAATACATCAAGGGCTCTATACATAGACTGTTTCTACACATGCTTATTTGGTCATGCTGTTGTATTCTATTTTAATGCATGAAATGTATTAAGTTGTGTTACATACATAGTGTGACGTAGGCTTTATATGGCAGTATGCTCCAGTATACGTATTTAACCTGTATATTTGCTGTGCATTTTATAACGTGAAACTTTGATAAACATTTTGTTTCTCTCTGTGTGTCATAAGAGTAACATTAAGACACAAACACCATTCTTTTCACGAATATATTCATTCTAAATTTTATTGCACTTCTTCTATACAAGTTTCGTTACAAATATGTAACATAAATTATATATATTTGTATAAAACAACTAAAAAAGTCCATACTGTTTTGGAAGAACATGTTGAGGAAATATGTTCTAGCCGTTACGTGAAATACGGTGCCCGTAGCAACGAGGAGATATCGCCATGAGCGTCTTCTCCAGCGTGTATATGTCGGCCCTGTGAAACATACCGGGGACTGCCTGAAAACAGAGACAACATCGTTGACGTATAGCAAAACATGGAGTGAGTGAGTGAGTAGGGTTAATTGGCGCTGTTTTGAAAAATATTTCTGTGATACCAATTTTACGTGGTAATGAAAACCAATGAAATCTGTGAGCACGGGTAAGGCCTGACAGATCTCAGATCATAATCTCTGCGAATCGAAGGTCATTCATATCCGACCCCAGAACATCGAGTCATGACAGCGAGGGAGGAAAACTTAGAACGGAGTTCACCCGTTCCCACAACGGCATCGAGGAGTTTATCCGTTCCCACAACAGCATTGAGGAGTTCACCCGTTCCCACAACGGCATTGAGGAGTTCACCCGTTCCCACAACAACATCGAGGAGTTCATCCGTTCCCACAACGGCATTGAGGAGTTCATCCGTTCCCACAACGGCATTGAGGAGTTCACCCGTTCCCACAACGGCATTGAGGAGTTCACCCGTTCCAACAACAGCATTGAGGAGTTCCCCCGTTCCCACAACAGCATCGAGGAGTTCACCCGTTCCCACAACGGCATTGAGGAGTTCACCCGTTCCCACAACAGCATCGAGGAGTTCACCCGTTCCCACAACAGCATTGAGGAGTTCCCCCGTTCCCACAACAGCATCGAGGAGTTCACCCGTTCCCACAACAGCATTGAGGAGTTCACCCGTTCCCACAACAGCATTGTGGAGTTCCCCCGTTCCCACAACAGCATTGAGAAGTTCCCCCGTTCCCACAACGGCATCGAGGAGTTCATCCGTTCCCACAACAGCATCGAGGAGTTCACCCGTTCCGACAACGGCATTGAGGAGTTCCCCCGTTCCCACAACAGCATCGAGGAGTTCCCCCGTTCCCACAACAGCATTGAGGAGTTCCCCCGTTCCCACAACAGCATCGAGGAGTTCCCCCGTTCCCACAACGGCATTGAGGAGTTCACCCGTTCCCATAACAGCATTGAGGAGTTCCCCCGTTCCCACAACAGCATTGAGGAGTTCCCCCGTTCCCACAACAGCATCGAGGAGTTCATCCGTTCCCACAACAGCATTGAGAAGTTCACCCGTTCCCACAACGGCATTGAGGAGTTCACCCGTTCCCATAACAGCATTGAGGAGTTCACCCGTTCCCACAACAGCATCGAGGAGTTCACCCGTTCCCACAACAGCATCGAGGAGTTCACCCGTTCCCACAACGGCATTGAGGAGTTCACCCGTTCCCACAACAGCATCGAGGAGTTCACCCGTTCCCACAAAAGCATTGAGGAGTTCCCCCGTTCCCACAACAGCATCGAGGAGTTCACCCGTTCCCACAACGGCATTGAGGAGTTCACCCGTTCCCACAACAGCATTGAGGAATTCATCCGTTCCCACAATGGCATTGAGGAGTTCCCCGTTCCCACAACAGCATTGAGGAGTTCCCCCGTTCCCACAACAGCATTGAGGAGTCCCCCCGTTCCCACAACAGCATTGAGGAGTTCCCCCGTTCCCACAACATCATAGATTGAGTTCACACGTTTTCGTAACTATTAGGAGTTTATTTTATGACATTTCCCTTTTTACATTACACGTCGTCCAGTGTTGGCTGTATTGTGATACATTATTTTACTTTTTGTATCCATTTACATAAGGGACCGGTCATTATATCTAATATCCTAAAAAATGTGGCCATATTTTGTACAAATGCAAATATCACCAATGAAAATGAACACGGTGCTGAATGAAATTGGGATGTACTATTTTACATAGCGGCATCATCATAAGGAGTCCAACTGTAGAGAACTTACCTCAACAACCACGACCGCCTCATCAGCCCTGTCGTTCTTGCTGGTCATACTGGTTGTGTCCAGTCCATCCATGGTCAAACGTGAACGGTCATCGACGGAAACAGATTGTCATCACACATAGTGTCATTCTCCTCTCCAACGTTTCATCTAAGGTAATGTTGAGTATATGGTATGATAATCTCTAAGGACCAAATACGTGATACTTGTCATAGATTATATCAATTCCAGGTCTGCTTTAGTTTCCTGACAAAAACATACCGCTTCAAATGTTATCAAAGTTTCATATAAACACAATCCATCACAATGATCGCCTTGCACTTTGCCTGGATGGCGACAGGCGCCTTTTTAAGAGAAGATCTTCTAGGCTCTTCCTTTTAAACATGTTGCCCAACTTTCTGGACATATTTCCTAAAATACTCCGCCTCCTTTTAACATTTTTCGACCTTTGTTTCTGCGCCTCAAAAGCGTCTGACAAAAGTCCTTCGAAAACAGAACATACGCTCGAAAAGTCTTCGGCGGCGGATATTTCAACATGGCGACACTGGTACTTCTGAGCGAGAGGCCGGAAGTCGTCTGCTTCCACTTGCCGAAAGTGCTCTAGATCGAGCTTGTTGCCGAGTATTGTGACGGCACTTCGTGGCGATTGACGACCTCTGTGTATTTTCTCGAGCTCGGTCTGGACGGCGACGGCAGCAGAAACATCAGCTATGCTGTAGACGACGATGAAGGCGTCGGCCTGGTACCTCCTCAGCGTGGACTCCGTCAAGCCATCCTGCAATTTTAGAGACAAAGTTGTTTTTACGTGAAACATAAGACCTCTTTGATACATCAGACATATTGTACCTGGGTCTTTTCCTGTAACTAGAAAATGCGCTCTTTCAAAGTTTAACCATGAAATTAAACATACATTCACAATACGAGTCTGTGGGCGCATCATTTCATGGATTAACACACGGGTCCTCTTGAACTAAATCCTGCTATAAATTATCCTTCCTCTAGTAAGGGATGGTGAGTGGGCTCAGTGGGTAAAGTGTTCGCTCTTCACGCCGAATGCCTGGGTTCGATGCACAACATGGGTACAATGCGTGAAGTTCATTTGTGGCGTCCCCGCCGCTGGAACATTGCTCATGTTCATGTACAGCTGGACCGTGTCAAGTCCGTGCTGAGACAACTGGTCATTTATTGTGGTGTTCATCGTCGGAACTATCGATTTTGACCAATACTCTCTTAACCCCTTGGCTCCCATCTAACAAACATTATGCATTCCATGCTGTCTACAAATTGTATATATTCGCACAAACGTTTGTAAGAGGCGCGCATGGACCTATCGGTGTCTAGTGGTTAAGTTGTGTGAGTCTACTAGGGATTCATGTCATTTGTCGTGGTGGAAAAGAAAGTTAAAACAGCCACTTCTTTCATCTGACAACTGATCAATTTTGTCTTACTGAGCAACAACATACATGTACTTCTGGTTCTAAAACACAATGGTGACGTAACAATAAAGCTTTTCAAAAACATCCACATCAAATCAAGCATTGTGTCATCAAAAGCAAATAGATGCATTGGGTTGAGTTCATGCACTCCTGACAATACAGGACAAAGGCCCTATCGAGTGCAAACAGATTACTTGTTTGTGCACAAACAGAAAATGCGTCAAATACAAACAAAGAAGTTTACTGACAGCTAAAAAGCGAAATAAAATTTCATAATCCTTTTCATCTCACATCCTTTCTAAAATACGGTAACGTCTGTTCATATTTACAATATTACAGTTGCAATGGCATGAGAGGAAGTTGGGCCCTATTTTTGGTATGCGAACGGCTCAAATCTTTTATAACTTTATGATTCATACCGGTCACGACTCTAAACCAGGTTCCCAGCGGATAGTTGCTTTGAAAAAAGGCTTAAGCTTTCCCAGTGCATAAATATTACAAACAAGTGTAAATTGAATTTTGCTCTAAGGCGACCTGTGTAAGCAGCCATGTTGGCTCGGAACGCAAGAAAACAAACATAGTTCTTTGCAGACAATCCCAGAATTCCGCTCCAAATATGGCGTGGGATAAACAAGTTTACGTGTGATCTTGTGATGTATTGAGGACGTTTTTCGCTACAACGTGTGGCCAGAGAATAGCGGTCAAGGGATATCACAAGCGTGGTCAGTTAATGTCCGGAGGATATACGCCAGATCACATGTTGCTTGGCGTGGACGCGCGTTCATACCGACTAAGCCATCAGCGTGATCTGTATCACATAGTGGTCTCTGTGCGAGACTGAAGATTGAGTGCTATTTGTCGTCGGTTTTAAAATGTTTGCTGGACACGTTTATACACGTCATAGCATTCAGAGATGCCACACAATGAGTGGGTTAATGTTACGCCAAGTCAGCAATAGTGCAACTATAAAACGGCGCCTGTGTGTAATCAAGTCTGGCCCAGAAGTATTACGAAACCCACACGACTGGCCCGTATTGTAATACACAACATCAACTCGGGATTCAAGGCTGCATTAATCACCTGGAGTGAATTTTTTTCATTAATCTAGTTGTGGCGGTGAGACCTTTTACCGCCACCTAGCGAGAGAGACATACACTAATCAAATCGCAGTCGTGAGATCGCTTACGAGACAATTAGGCTGACAGACAATTTGTTTTTGAAATTTGAAACCTTGATTGACAAGTGTGCAAGTGATATATTTAATGTTTGACATTTGGACGTTTCCCTTTGGCATTTGTTGACCATCTGTAACTTGGAAAGATGGGAAAGTTAAGCTGTCTAGACGGAACATGATGAGAGATGAAGAAGGTCAGATAAGTAACTACCCCTATTCGCTGTTTCATCAAGACTACTTTTTGTTATTAAGGGGAGAATTAATGTGACTTGAAAAGGTACGAAATGTTTGCAATATTGATCATTAGCTAATGTTATCAGCAGATAAATATAAAGCATAATTCCGCATAAGTATCGACAGATGAATATTGGTTTAAGTGTTCGAGCAGTTGTAAAAATATGTTTTACGGAAAATAGACAAGGAGTTAAAAACATGGGCACTGTTCTTTCCGCTTTTCGGCCGACATTCGGTGAAGAAGAAGTGTTTTCCTAAAGTGGCTGACGGGGATGAGTGACTTAACACCCCAGTTAGCCATATTACGGCCTGTTCAGGTTAGAGTCTACGAAGGCCAGACACATCAGATGTTGGCCGCGTAAACAAACGTCCACGACGGGCGTACACTCAGCCAGATAAAGCGTTGTAATCACAGGTTATCCAACTGACCCGTTGTTACGAGAACTATAGCATATTGAAGAAATAGTCAAACTCTGAATAGGTCACTGGTGTGTGCACCCGTCAGAAACACGACTTTGGTTCGATTCCCTATTTTATTTAAATCATGTTTTACATGGAACATATTCTTTTATTAAAAAAACAACAATTAAAGATCCAAATCATTAGTTTTGTCTTTGTACTAAATTTCACCTTCATCATACCATCAATCACGTGACCTCACCTGGCTATCGGAAGTGTCCAGAATCTCCAGCTTGACCGGTTCATCCCCAATGTTAACCACGGTAGTGTACTCGAAGTCTGTCGTTAACAAATACAACAGTTAATATTTCTTAATTCAGAGAAATATGAACAATTTCCATACGTTATCTTCGATGTGGCTTCATTTGAAACCTCATCACGATATGGCTGCAATATTGCCGATGCGCTGTAAAATTATAACTCACTCACTTCATTTGAAACAGGGTCGTATATAGACACGGCCATAACAACCATCCAAGTATACTGTTGACCTTGGCCGTCTTCATTAACCGAGACCGGGTACCAGCACCGACAAAGTCTTCATTATACATACAAAGAATACTTAGCAAGGCGCCGCATGAACAAAGCGATCGTGGTCTAACATGTGCGGGTAATTAGCACTAGTATAGCGGATAGTGAGTCTCACCTTGAAGTTGGGTGTGAACCGGAGCAAATTTGGTCTGACCTTGGGTTTACATCTTGGGTTATGTAGCACACACGATGTTACTGTTGAGACTGTCTATTGTGACTCCTATACGTTCAAATAATCTAATAGTGTCGGATTTTAATCCGAAAACAAGATTGTGGACAGTATATGAAATTAGGTGAGGTGAAATTGTGTTTAACGTCGCGTCCAAGATTATTGCACTTATATAGCGACGTGCATGCACGCGTATGTGTGTGTGTGTGTGAATGCTTGTACTAGTCCGGAAGGATGCCGATTTATAGTGCTAGCTCACTGAGATACCATGCCGCAGTTTAACATGAATACCCCACTCAGACACAGTATACTGACTCCTAGCCGACCAGTCCTTGTTTTAGCCCCTTAATGCCGAGCGCCAGACAGGGTAACAACAAATACAATCTTTGAACGTCTTTTTGTATGACGCGGCCGGGACCTTCCGCTCTCAGGGCGGACGCTCTACCAAAAGACCACGGAGGCGGTCGTTTATGAAATTAACTTGAAAGAATGAATATTGTGTTTACGCTGCAATTAGCAATAATTCAGCTATAAAACGGAGTGCAATCGATTCTGGGCCATAAATCTGAATGATTTTGCCTTTCTGACTCGATGAATAAGAAATGTATGCCACAGGCAGACATATATCTGGAATATTGCTGACTGTGGCGTTAAACAAACAAACAAACAAACAAACAAACAAACAAACAATCGAATCATAACTAATTCAACCTGAGGGTGATAAGAGTCATTCCTTAAAATGAAGAACACTTTAACATGCTTGTTTCTAATACATGAACTCAAGCTTAGACTCCAGTCAAGACCCATTATAATCAACTGGTCAAATGAACGGCTGGTCGGCCCATCAACTGTAAATAATGATATCTGAACTCATATTACCTGAACCGGAACTGTATTCTCCAATATAGCGCTTAGTCAGGTAGCGAACAGTGATAGCTGAAATACAATAAGGTCTTATTGATATTATAATAATAACACCATATTCGTACTGTAGGTAGAATGAGCAAACAAAATTAAAATATCTTAAAGTGAAACGATTTCCTAACTTTTAGTTCCTTTTCTCTCTTACATGGTATTCCCCTTATAGAATGAAGTCAAATATGATAAAATAATGATCAAGGGAGCTCAAATAACTGGATGTATGGATGTATGAATGCAGAATTGCCTATAAACGTGTTGTGCGTGAGTATATCTTCTCTACTTTGAACTTTGTGCTATTCAAAGTAACACGGATCGAAGACGTTCTACACTAGCGTGAAAACCTACGGATATTGTCCAAAGACATTACATAAAACCTTGGATTCGAACCCGCAACCATATGAGGCCAACTGTGTACTCCGCGTAAGAATCCTTTACTAATTAAATACGATTATAAATGTAAATGTAAATTTACATAATAAAGAATGTATTTGTGTTGTATATTTATATAGCCAATGCTGCATAATATAACTATACTCAACAACAAAAGTTCCTGTGACACCAATATTTTAGTGTATTTTTCAAAAAAGTAAAGTTTGGTTTTCAGTATTGTAGTACATGTATGGAATCAAGTCACTAAAAAACCCAACTGCTACAGAAAAGCATGCATTCCATGCAAAAGTTGACTTTTATGCAAGTCCCATGCATTTCACTACCCAAGAATGGGTATAAAAACATGTGCGTTAACGGGATTCCATATGCATTGTTTAGTATCGTGCTGACAACAACCATTCAGAAAAACAACAAAATTACGCAATTATTCAACCTTACGAAATGCCACGCCTGTCCGAAAATGAGCGTCTGCGAGCCATTGGTATGCTTAAAGCAGGATCGAGTCAGCGTGATGTTGCAAGACAATTTAACGTCCACAGAAATACCATTTGGTGTTGGCAACAGACGAATGCAGTCAGAGACCATCCTCTGAGTCGCAGGCCACGCGTAACCAATAATCGACAAGACAACTGGATTCGAACAACACACCTACACCTCCAGTTAGCAACAGTGACTGCAAGAAGCATCCCTGGCCTTCGATGAATATCTTCACAAACCGTACGTCGCCGCCTCAGATGTGCAGGGATTGTCGCCAGAAGACCCGCCAGACGTCCCATTTTGAAAGGAAACCACCGTCAAGCACGTCTACAGTGGTGCAGACAGCGTCTGCGCTGGGCAGCCATGCAGTGGGGACAAGTTCTATTCACTGACGAGTCTCGTTTTCACCTCAGCCACAGCGATGTACGGATTCGAGTGTAGCGACGTCGAGGTGAACGTTACGTCAATCGTTGTGTCATGGAAGAAGAACGGTTCGGGGGCGGCAGCGTTATGGTATGGGGTGGGATTACAGCAAGACAGAGGACCCGTTTGATAGTGGTAGAGGGAAATCTCAATGGACAGCGCTACCGCGACGAGATCATCGGCCCTGTCGTTCTACCGTTTTTGCGTCGTCATGGCCCAGGCATTACCTTTCAACATGACAACGCCCTGCCTCATATTGCTCGACTTGTTCAGGATTCTCTTCAACAAAAAACAACGTGAATGTCATCCACTGGCCGGCTCGCTCCCCTGATCTCTCACCAATCGAGCACATGTGGGATGAGATGGATCGGCGCCTTCGACGTCAACCACGTGTTCCACAGAAACTCCAGGAACTTCGAAACATGCTCCAGCAGATATGGACAGATATCCCACAGGACTTTGTGCGACGCCTGGTCCATTCCATGAGACGAAGATGTGTTGCTTGCATGGCAACCAGAGGTGAACACACACGCTATTGATTTGTAAATTGACATTTTGGCATGTTCATGATTTTATGAAATCACGCATTTTCTGAAGTCAGTATGGCAAATTAAACCATTTGAACACTAACAGGAGTCTTTTATCTGTTGCAAACCGAAATTGTTACAGATTTGGTAAAAAACATAACTTTGCATGAAATCTTATTCAATGTCACAGGAACTTTTGTTGTTCAGTATATTTAGAAACTAGCCAATTAACTAAAAGTTCTGGTCGTGTAGAATCATCCCAAAGTAAACATTATAAGACACTTCATATTATATGTCAAGAATAAGTGTTGATCCCGTGAACGTTCAAAACACCACGCCCAGCCGGATATACCGTAGATAATTTGTGAATGCAGGGTCCCGTTTCACAAAGCGATTGTGGCGTTCCGACTGCCATACTTTAATATGAGCGGCCATCGTAGCGTTAAGATGTCTTTGTGGGGCGGTACCAAAAGGCATATATACAAATATCCGAGTGGATGTCAGCAGCCCTGACCACCAATTCCAGATAAGTTTCGGTTTTACTTTAATGTCAAGTTTTGTATCAACACGTGCTATCCACGTAAAGTGATAGATTGGGCTTTAGGTTGAACACCTGGTGAATCAAAAAGGGCTGTCTGCGTCAAACAAGCGCCACAGCTAGCTAAACACAGATGTGGTGATCGGTGTGACTCGGTGTAGCTACATCCCCACATTGCTTTGAGAGAGAGTCCAACAACACGAAATACGTTTTTCACAATCTTTAATAAAAAATCTAGAATAAAAATATGTAGGGATATGAAAATCACATGCAGTGAACCTTATCGCGTAGACCCGATCTGACTGATGGTGTAGGTTGGCGCCTTATAATCTGCCTGGTGATTTCACTGTCGGTTGTTCAAGTAAGATTACGTTACCAACGATACAGAATTTCTGCGGCAGACCTTATGTTAATGAAGTGGACATGTGTAGATCATTCGGTATCTGTTGTAATACATATACGGTCGGAAGGGTAGCCTAGTGGTTAAGGCGTTCGCCTGTCACACCAAATGCCCAGGTTCGATTCCTCACATGGGTACAATGTGTGGGGCCTATTTCTGGATCCCTGGCTGTTATATTGCTGGAATATTTCTAAAGAGGCGTAAAACCATGTCAGTCCAAGCAAGTTTCTTTCAAATCTTCAATACCTATTTCGTTGTCTGGTAGCTCAAAGTTTAGGATGTACATGCCGATACTACCACAATAGATGTCGCTGTATACATGTCCTAATAAGCATCAATCCTGACGTCCCACATATGCGACATTAAGCATATTACATTTCAAGAACAAATTATTTATATTTAACGGCAAGGTGTTTAACATGTTAAACTGAAGCTATTATAAAACTATTGTGCATATATTCGCTGTCAGTGATCAATTGGCGTAATATTTTCAAATGCAATCAATTAATTTTCGGATTCATTAGATAAATTTACACAGCTACGTGCAGCGTAGATAATAACAAAGTATCACAAACTTACCCGATTTGCCAACCTTCTTCTCACCTAGGACTACGATACGTAAACTCCCTACAGTGGTTTTCATCGTGAACCTCCAGCACTGTGCGTATCCTACGAAATGTGTCCGCTTCCTAACAAGACTCAAGCGAAACTACCGCAGCTTTCTACGCCCAGCACGGTTAAGTCTTGGTTGTTTACAAACCTGTAATCACGTGACACAAACAAACACACCCTGACCTTCCTAGACGAACTCGAAGTTCGGCAAACTAAAAGGAATCCAAATACCACTGTCCTTTTACACTACTGCAAGACAGATCGCGGGATTAACCGGGACATTTTAAGATTCATATCTTTTCACATTAAGGAATAATTTGCGGCGATGGTATTAAAAGATTTCAATGAAAGTGTTTTGAATCGATACAGATGCAAGATAAAGGTGGTCGCTGGCCAACACAGACTATTGGTCGTATGCATACAATATCAAGGTCCCAGACATGTTTAGAAAGGAATCTCATATTCAGTGTATAACAAACACCGACGGTTTGTCGCATAAACATGGCGAAAAGGGTAGGAAAAAACAATAGACCTTGCAAGGTTTCCAGAAACCGTCTATCTTGACACAGTTTTTTTGTCACCGTTTGTCCTAATTTGGGACTTAATGAGAAGATCAAGCAGTCGCAAACTGATCCAAATAATGTTGTTGCCTCACCTTGAACTTGAGTGTCGTCACGCTCACAATCTCGTTGTAATCCCGTGGACTTGTTAGGACGTATAGCGTCCAACATACCTACGCCGCATGTAATGATCAGAGGTTGGAGAGGAAGGTTTCACATTGATGTAATTTATTGCAAGCTTGGAAAAAGAAATGTACCAATGATTGTGACTGCAATTTGACTCATGTGAAACGCCATTGTCAGCTGGATCGCTATGTGGATGTGGATGTACATAGGAATATAAGGCGTGTTTCTTTTCCACGCTTGTTTGTTTTCGTCTTGTAATAACATACAATGTAGAGTAATTGCTAACATTGGTGTGTGAAGTTAAAGGCTTGCAGGAAGCCTAGTTCTAATATTTGAACCCGATGACTATTGAATCTCAGATGATTATCAATGAGATAGCAAGTAAACAGGTATTGGAATTACATATGCTGAAAAAGTCAACGGGGTCATCAACATTTTCGCCGTTGTCATTCAAGATTTGAGAAAATACCCTTTTCCGATCATTCTTTTGCACAAGATCAAGATAAGTGAGATAACGTTGGTAGCTTTTCAAACTGAAAAATATTTAACACAGTTACTTAACTTTAAGTTTTGTCTTTTGCAATAATACCTCGTCCATTAGTATTAACTTCATGGAACCTATCAGATACAGACCAATCAACTGCAAGGTGACGACTTTGACTTCATAAAAGAAATGAATGTAACTTCTGAATCCAGTTTGTATCTGTTTCAATCAAAACAATTTTAATGATGCTTTGATTGGTTTAATATATTCTAACTATGTATAACCGAATCTGGATTAGACAATCCAGTGATTGATATTATGTACATCATTCCATTTAAGTTACACCTCTTACGACAAGCGAAGGTATTGGGACCAAGACTACCCTTTAGTACACTGCCTGTCGGTATTGGGACCAAGCCTACACTGTAACACACTGCCTGTAGGTATTGGGACCTGGTCTACCCTGTAACACACTGCCTGTCGGTATTGGGACCAAGCCTACACTGTAACACACTGCCTGTAGGTATTGGGACCACGTCTACCCTGTAACACACTGCCTGTAGGTATTGGGACCACGTCTACCCTGTAACACACTGCCTGTACGTATTGGAACCACGTCTACCCTCTAACAAACTGCATGTAGGTATTGGGACCCCGTCTTCTCCGCAACACCCTGGCTGTAAGTATTGGGACCTGGTCTACCCTGTAACACACTGCCTGTAGGTATTGGGACCACGTCTACCCTGTAACACACTGCCTGTACGTATTGGAACCACGTCTACCCTCTAACACACTGCATGTAGGTATTGGGACCCCGTCTTCTCCGCAACACCCTGGCTTTAAGTATTGGGACCACGTCTACCCTGTAACACACTGCCTGTAGGTATTGGGACCACGTCTACACTGTAACACTGTGCCTGTAGGTATTGGGACCACGAGTTCTCAGCAACACTCTGCCTGTAGGTATTGGGACCACGTCTACCCTGTAACACACTGCCTGTAAGTATTGGGACCACGTCTACCCTGTAACACACTGCCTGTAGGTATTGGGACCACGTCTACCCTGTAACACACTGCCTGTACGTATTGGGACCACGTCTTCTCCGCAACACCCTGACTGTAAGTATTGGGACCACGTCTACCCTGTAACACACTGCATGTAGGGATTGGGACCTGGTCTACCCTGTAACTCACTGCATGTAGGTATTGGGACCACGAGTTCTCAGCAACACTCTGCCTGTAGGTATTGGGACCACGTCTACCCTGTAACACACTGCCTGTAAGTATTGGGACCACGTCTACCCTGTAACACACTGCCTGTACGTATTGGGACCACGTCTACCCTGTAACACACTGCCTGTACGTATTGGGTTCACGTCTACCCCGCAACACACTGCCTGTAGTTATTGGGACCACGTACTACCTACAACAGTCTGCCTGTAGGTATCTGGACCACGAGTTCTCAGCAACACACTGCATGTGGGTATTGGGACCACGTCGTCCCCGCAACACACTGCCTGCGGGTATTGGGACCACGTCTACCCTGCAACACACTGCCTGTAGGTATTGGGACCACGTCTACCCTGCACCATTCTATCTGTAGGTATTGGGACCACGTCTACCCTGCACCATTCTATCTGTAGGTATTGGGACCACGAGCTCTCAGCAACACACTGCCTGTAGGTATTGGGACCACGTCTACCCTGCAACACACTGCCTGTAGGTATTGGGACCACGTCTACCCTGCACCATTCTATCTGTAGGTATTGGGACCACGTCTACCCTGCACCATTCTATCTGTAGGTATTGGGACCACGAGCTCTCAGCAACACACTGCCTGTAGGTATTGGGACCACGTCTACCCTGTAACACACTGCCTGTACGTATTGGGACCACGTCTACCCTGCAACACACTATCTGTACGTATTGGGACCACGTCTACCCTGTAACACATTGCCTGTAGGCATTGGGACCTGGTCTACCCTGCAACACACTGCCTGTACGTATTGGGACCACGTCTACCCTCTAACACACTGCCTGTAGGTATTGGGACCACGTCTTCCCCAGATCTACCCATGCATTCATATCTATATGCATTCGTTCAAATGACCCCTGTTTTCGTATTTCGAATGAGCCAAATAAAAGCCATTCCTTGTTATATTTTATTTAGGATATACTATGTGTTTTCGGATCTGCGGGTGCAGTTGTTTGTAATGGATGCGCAGAAAATTTATTAAAAACCAACGGCGCAGGAAAAAGTTGAACTCTGGAATGCTAAATCCATTGACACGCCCTAAAGATTTCCGAGATCCCATTACACTTAACAAAGTGTAAAACCAATCAGATTACAGCACAATTATGTTACGTCTGTGTGTGCAGATGTATACAAGATGAAAGAATGGACTCGGGTATCTCTCAGATACTTGACATCTTTTTCACATATTTCCAACTATATTCCTGTGGTCATAAAGTAGATTTAACTTTATGTCAATACATACATCCTTCACAAATAACCACACGCTGTAAAGGAAAAACTTAACTTGACCTTGACTGCAGTCAGAAGGCATGACACAGAACTCACCACAAAACCAGCTCGTAAAATCACCAACAATTTGAGTCACTTCTTTGAAATGGCAGAGCCTTGAATCCAACCATACGTACATGGATAGCTATAGCTTTACTGAGATGTGAAGTTAACCTTGAAGGCTCTGAAGTCGATATCTTAAGCCAGGCGGGAGCCTGCCCCTGCGGCAAGGTTAGGGAGGCTAGAAGATCGCCTTGTTCACTCAGTTTACCGGGAGCATTGCATAATACTCGGCTGTTTGACTTGCGTATACTCGCTGAGTGCGGGACGACCCAGTTGACTGAATCAGTCGCTGAAGAAATGTCGTTCCTTACGTCATGAAGTAGGAAAAAGGAAAAGAATACGTTGCCAGCGTAGAGTAAATAGTTGAAGCCTTCCATGTCGACGTGAAATACCTGCGACGGGGAGGCGTTGTAAGAAGAAGGTAGCCGGTGCCTGATGGAAGGGCGGGAGACAGAGTGGTTCGACATTGGTGTGGCAGTGTATAACGTGGTTCGACACTGGTGTGGCAGTGTATAACGTGGTTCGACACTGGTATAGTTGTTTTGAATGTGGTTTGACACTGTGCAGTACTTTGAGTGTGGTCCGACACTGGAATAGAAGTTGTGAGTGTGGTTCGACACTGGAATAGTAGTTTTGAGAGTGGTCCGACACTGATGCAGTAGTTTTGAGTGCGGTACAACACTGGTCAAGAACGTTTGAATTCCGTTCGACACTCGACACTGGCATTGTAGTTTAAGTGTGGTTCGGCGATGGTGCAGTAGTTTTGAGTGGGGTTCGACATGGCAAACACTGTTCACTGTCTATAATTGGAGGAGCAGTGAAACGGCAATGCACATTATCAAGTTAATTATCAGAATTCATATTCAAATTCAAACATTTGATAAATCTGATAAATCATGCTTGTTTTAAAAGCAGACTTAAATGAGAATCGGCTGTGTTATTTGACTGATGGTCATGTTTGCTGTAGTCGACCCATGGCGTTGTACGCTAGCATGGTTTCAATCTGGTTTTCTTTTCTTTACAGTTCATCGTGGTATAGCAGAATTGTGTTGACTACGATGTCAAGATTCACCCACGCACTCACACAACCAAGCAAAACGCGCGCATGCCCGATCGGTCACTCGCAGAGGAATATAATGGTGACTACTTGTGTCATTAAGAGACAATAAGAGAGTGATGGTGATCACCATATGCTCGCCATACCTCACACAGTGGCTGTTTAGTGGGTGGACAGACTCTGGTAATTAAATCCCTCATATGATGGAAATATATTAGATCCTTCTCGCCATGTACATAAACGGTTTCTTGATAAACGGGTCGGGTC